GAGATATCAGGTTGAAGATCAACCTTCAAGATCGGTGGGATGTAGTGTTCAAGTGTACTTTGGAATTGCATGGTTGAAATACACCCGACATCAGAAAAGGATCACGAAGAACATCACTTCAAATCTTCGGCAGCGCCTAATGGTCATGTTCAGTTTACTGGAGAAGGAATATGTGTTGGGGGCTTAGATGATGAATCCAGACAATGCTGGTTTCAATTCGGTGAACTCAACCGGTAAAAGTTCCCCAAGGCTTTCATATATGATGGTCAAGATTACTCGTCGTTGACACTATCTTCCAGTGCTATCCAATACTTCCTACTAAATATGGCATTAGGAAACTGTCTTACCGGTTTTATGTGGAACTCCAAATGAACGGTAGTGTCAGCATCAAATAACAGAATAGGCTGCAAATTATACCTTTAGGAGAAATACAGTCCACTTCTATACGAGAAGACACAGGCTAGAAGACGGCCTAGCACTCTTCAAAATTCTATTGCCAATGAGTCGCCAAATGTGTGTATATGTAGAAGAGAAATTGTTGATCGAAACTCGACCGAATTTTTATTCATTTGACAGTCTCTGATCAAGGCCAGAGACAAGCCCAATTTTGGTTGGACATTGTTTTCAAATGTTTTCTAACAGATCATAGAAGTAATAATATTAATACACATGTAATCTTCGTGTAGGTATATTATTGTAGTGCCTGAAATATTGGTGCAAAATTTTCCAGCGCTGGAATGTGATTTAAGTTTTGAGTCCAACATAGGTGGCTGTGACTTCAATATCATTGACATTCATATTTTAAAGAAATTATTGACAATTAAGCCTATGTTTGAATATCTGCTTATTCTTGTGGTTATTTGAGGTAAATTTCGCTCCATGATGCACCAAGTTGAAAATCATCTTCAACTCATTACATCAAAAGTTACACCAAATGAATAGTGTTTAATTATTTTCTTCATTTTTTTTATTCTTAACAATTTATTTATTTTAAAACTACATAAATTACGTTAAATTAACGAAAATAATTTATTGTATTACAAAAATGTATAATAAAAATGGATACAAATATTCTTAACCAAATTTTTTGCAAGGTGAAAGAGAGGCAAAATTATATTTTAACCATTTTTGTGCAAAATGGTTCAAATGAATAGTTTTGCCTCGTGTGCAATACATTGGAGGAGATTTGCACTATACAATTTTGTGAATTATGGTGAAATGGTGCAACACTAGGGATGCTCTAATACCTTACATTGACAAAAATTATTAAAAATCAAATATTCTTAAAAAGTATTGTGTTAATGCTTCTAAAAAGTATTACTTCATACTATCAATATTTAAGAATATGACATTGTTCACGTAAACACACGACCTTATAAGTTAATTTTAGGAAGTTTATATCTCAAATCTGTTAACGATCATTTAACACCAATGTCTCTAAGTAATTACTAAACAATTATTATTGAGAACAAAGATGATTCCCACTTATGTTCAAGGGATGCTATTTATATATAGTATCATGTCAACGTCAACGTTCTTCTCGTTATATTTGACTTACAATAATGAATTTAATATCTTTCATCTAAGCATATTTATAGTATAATATATGCACTAGCTTCACCATTGTGCACTGAGATAGGACATGAAGAATGATGAGAATACATATTTAGCACCTGTCTGGTGTAGCTACTTTTTCAATTAATAGCGAAATTCTATCCATTGCAATTGGTCAACGGGGTCCCACAGGTGAAAGATTAAGTCAAAAATGTCAGGCCATAACGTTCCAAAAATGAATTTTTGACCTCCAAAAATGGTGCCTAGACAGAGCCTTAGTTTGAACTCTTTTTATTATAAAAATATCTTGAAGCCTTATAGAGTAATACAACACGATTTGCCGACTATCATTTTGATAAGAAGGTTTTTCAGCATTAGGGGAGTATTGAAACAGTCGAAAAGAAAAAAACACGATTCATTATTATGTTACCTTGATTCAAATTAGAGATCAGAACGATAATTTATTTACACATATTCACTGACCAAATATATTAATCAAATATTGTATACTAGCTACAATTGCTTCAACTTATTCTGAAATTCTTGGAAGGACACCTAGTTAATATTGCATTTGGTAAATTTATGGCACGTTGAAATATGATCGTATTTGATTTCAAGACAAAAAGTTCTTAAGACAAAAACATAACAAATATTAAAGATCGTCTCATTGAAGATGCATATACTTTTGAAGAATATATAAAACTAACTAATTTTATAGCTTGAAAAAAGGTTCAATTACATAAAAAACATTGTCCACAACATTTTGTGTACTATTTATAAATGAAAATTACATTCCAAGATCCCCAATTATTTCCTATAAAAATGTTAACTTTTAATTCCTGAATAAATCCCACGAGAGTTTTACTCCTTTTCGATCTCTTTTCTCTTAGTAGTACTACAACGTAGTACATACACTCCCTCGCCATCTAGGTTTTCGTCCTGGCACCACCAGTTCTATATACTCATATTTTAATCAATCGCAATCATCTCCGCTTTATTTCACAAGTAAAAACCACAAAAGCCCTCCATTACCACTGTTTCAGAAGAACCAGCAGTTCAAAATTATTTTTTTTTAATCCAAGAAAACAAAATGTTAAAGCTTAATCGCAGCTCCCGCATCTCTCTGTTATCTTCTCTTTCCCCCATTCCCATTTTTGCCTGAAAGGTACGCCACTTGCCAATTTTTCCTCTTTAACCATTATTGTTTACATGTATATAAATGTTGAATTTTGTTTGAAACCCAGGAATTTGAGATTTTTGCGAAGTTTGTTGAACGGATCCAGGGTTTTCACTTTTCCATCCAATTTACCAATGCACATTGGTTCTCGTGTTTTCAAGTTTCTTGTCATAATTTACATGCATCAAATCGTGATTTTTTATATTAATTCAGAAAAATAAGTGATCTTTAGGTAGATTTTGCATGGAATTGTCTCATGCTCAATCAGAATTTTGTTTTTGCAGATTCCTTCTTTACTGATTTGTTTAGATTAAAGTTTCGTATAACTCCATTGTCTTGTAATTTTTGTTCAGAATAGAGCACACTTTGCCTGCTTTTTCTCTGTAAAATAAAGTGTAATGGAGAAAAAAATTATCGCTAGAGAGGGTTGTGCTTTCCAGTGCCCTGGTTTGGATTCATTCGTTTTCTTCTGATTTTAATTGATTTTCATCGTGTTTGTCTGTTTGTGTGGCAATGTGCAGATTGACATCGAATCTGAATTTTATGGGAAGATGAAATCTTTATGTAATTTCCAGCTTTATGTTGAATAAATTTTTTCATGTGATTCTTCCACTAGCATATGGTTACAAGTACTTCTATTCGTGAATAATTCAACTTCACCTGAAACGATTCATTTTGGATTTTAGTGTCATCTATGCTGTACTTCTGCAATGAGATCTACATTTAGGTCTTGTTACATGTGCTATCACCTCCGTGATCTAAAAGTGAATCTTCCACGGATTTTTAAGATTCAAATTGCGTTAGTAGAGATTCTTTTGGTAATTGCACGTATGGTAATGCTTGAATGGTCGAAATAATGGTTTTCTGAAATTGCAGTCCTCATAATCAACAATGATGGCTCCACTCTTTGAAATTATTCCCACCTGTATGTAAACAATGTCTTACTTGGTTGCTTAAATTGCATTGGAGCATTCTGTTGTACGGCGTGCTTGTTTTCTTAGAATGAAAGTCCTGCTCAGGAAACTGCAAGCCCCAATCAAACATATTCTGGACAATACGATGATATGGAATCATAAGCCTTAGTGAAATTATACATTCACAAGAGATATACAATATCTTTAGTTCTTTTATTTCACTTTGTCTCTTTTGCAGCAATAATTTTGTAGTTTATTATGATATGGCTGCTGAACAACGATATACTGAAATTTCAATTATTGCAATTATTGAATTGGCAACAGCATTTAGACACTAAACCCTAATCTTATTTCGAACAAAATCTTTATGTTGTCTATTCCCATTTGTGCCTTTATTTTGTATTTTAGAGGACAGGTAACAATACCCATTTACAAAACTAGATGACAAGCTAAAGGTCCCCAAGGAAAATCCTTTTATGCATCAGAACATATCGGTGCATTTATATAGCATACTACGATATCAGACAACTTAAGGAAACTTAAGGAGGAAACCATATGTAAGACATTAGTTAAGTCATTATAGACTATTGTCAAGGTGTGTTTTGAACATCAGCCTCTAGCATGAAGGTATACAATTGTGTCTATGTACACTGCATAACTTTGTGATTATTATTTCAAGACGTGTTAAATAATTTTGAAAACAAATACAGTTTAGGATTTTACTCCTTGTACAGAACTATTTGTTCCGTAAATTTTACATATACTCACATGGGGGTGGGCCCCATGTGAATAAAACATTATTATAAAAAATGGGGCCCACCCTAATGTGTCTTATCTGTTGTTTTTACAGATGAAATTCTTCTGTAACAGTAGCATGATTCTACAGTTTATGGCCAATTTTGCTAGTAGTAGCTGATTTTTTACTTATTTAAGAATATGGAGAGACATCATTTAAACTAATGGGTCAAGATACAAGATATATTTTGGATAATATTTATTACACTGACATGTTAATTGTTAAGTATCAACAATCAATTCCAATGAACTCAACAAATTGTACGAGTAGTTCTGTAGGACATCGTGATCTTTCTAAAACTATTCAATCAATTACTGTTGATCGAGCTGGAGGAACAAATGAAGTAAAAGTGTGATGCGAACATAACAAAACCAATTTTCCACGTCTGTGTGTTCTTTTAGGTTCTTCGGCTTATTTCACGCATGCCAGTCTGGATGAGGCAAAAGCTCCAAAGTTGGTTTGAGTGATTCACTGACAGTAATTCTGCCTATATGGGATGTAAACAATTTCAATTTTATTGTCATACAGGCATGTATTGTTACTATTTTTGGAAAAGATCATGGTGCAGTGCCTAGACGGAGTGAAGCTTCTGATTTCTGCGGTCGTGAACTGCTGTGATTCTGAAACGTATAAGCAACCTAATGGCTTGGAACATCCTGAAGCTCTTGCTAGGGAGACTCTGTGTATGTCGTTATGCTTTCTTTCTTGGACACTTCTAATTTTTGAAGTAGTAGTTTGAAAACAACATTCTCACTACTGCCTTGATTCATATTTCTGTTCTTTCAAAGATAGTGTGGCACTTTATTGGAATAAGAAGAGACGTTAATCAGAATGAAGGGGTTTGGTGACTTAGTTCTATTTGATCGCCTTGACTCATTTAATTCTTCATTTGGAAATTTGGTAAGAATGAGCAAATATGATCAGGAGGATCTAAAGTATCAAATATATGAGAATAGATGTTTAAGAAGCTCCTATTGAAAACTTAGTAATGAAAAAATTCTTAATACATTCTCCCTCCCTCCCTTGCTTCCTTTTTGTAGCGAGCAATTTGAATTTACTCTTAGTATATTAGGTAAACTAGTCAATCTATCCAGTTGTGTCACTGAGCCATTTCAACTTGTTTACTGCCACACTAGAATGGGTGAGTGGGAGGGATTCGTGGTTTCCAATGCTGGAGTTTGAGAAGGAAAAAATGTGAAGATCGGGTTTGTTATTTTGGCCCAGAAACAGTGAAGAGACAATGAATTTATTTCTATCATCTTCACTAAGCCTTCAATAGTGACAACCAAATAGGCCTTGTTTGAGTCAAATTATTGTAGAATGAGAATGAAAAATATGGTCGTTATTGAGACCCACATAAGAGATAGAAAGTTTGAATTTAAATGTTGATGTGATGGATAACGGTCATATTTTTCATTTTAATGAAATAATAATGTAGATCAAACAGGGGCTATATATATATATATTCTTTGGGGGTAGGGATTGAGTTTTTGTGTTTATTTTATTTGGTTGTTTAATCATTTATTTTGTGTGTGGAGTGTGAGCCGCCCGGGGGGGTGTAGAATAATGAAATTTAAGCTGAAGGTAACAAATACTCTCAGTTTGACATCTATGTAAGTGGAAAGAGTAATTAGTTACTGTCTGCTAATACCTGTCCAATGGATTGCATCCCATTTCTGTTCTTAACACTTTTAATTAAGCACTTAAAATGCATAACAAGTGTTTCTTTTTCCTCTTTTTTCATCCCTTACCTTCAGTTAGTGTGAGTGAAATAGAAGCACTGTATGAATTGTTTAAGAAGATCAGCAGTGCAGTGATTGATGACGGACTCATCAACAAGGTAACGGACATTATATAATAGGTTGTTAACTTTTATCACAACATGAGACTATTCTTGCTTCTTGCGTTCATATATCCATACTGAATCTTGATTTAGTTCTTCTGTCTCTTTATATGATTTCTCACCAGGAAGAGTTCCTGCTTGCACTTTTTAAGACAAACAAAAAGGAGAGCTTGTTTGCTGACCGGGTTAGTTTTCACGCGTCGAACATTTCAATTTATTGATATCACATCCTTTGCCTGCCCTCATTGCCATTTGGCAGCAGCGTTTTCTACTTTTCGCCAAAATATTGTGTAATCATACTAAGTGTAGTTACTTCCATGTTTGAATGTGTTCTCTTTCTCATTATGCCATTGAACTCTTTTGGAGAGTCTTGGGGGCTTCTGATAAATCTCAAAAGCTGATCAATGAAATGAGTACTAAAATATTTTAAGTTGCTGAAAAATTTAGGTGATGGTGTTAAGTGCTGTTAATTGAGTTTACCCTGTCAATTGAATTTGAAAATAATGTGAAAGTATAGTCAAGCACAATAAATTTTAAAATTTTGTCCTTTCCTTAAAGTTGCAACCTGAATATTTGTAGAGCTAATTATGCATCAAAATTACTACATAAATAGTAATGAAAGCCATGAATGCCTAGAGAGATAACTTGCTATCATTCAAAATTTCAAAGAGTAATGCAGACACTGTTTGAGATCATCGAGTTTAGAAGATAAATACACGAAAGAAGTTAGAAGATAATATTTTATGCTCGACTTTGTTCTTTTCTTTTCTTTTCCCTTTTTTTTCTTTTTTTCCTGTCCTATTCCTTTCCTCTCTTCAACTTCAAATTCGTGCCATTCTTATGCAAACAGTGATCTCACTTATCTATAAAAAGCATGAATTTAATCATCACCTAATTCTTCAGTTTTCAGGCCATAATAGGATTATTTAACACGTCCTTAGGATCTGTAAGATGTTCACTGTTTTGTCATGCAACTCCTGACTGTTGCGCTCATTTCTTTTTGAATTTATTGTCTATTTACCAACTAAGCGTGAAACTTCTTTGAATTTGTTTACCTTGCCTTTTTTTTTTTTTCAAATCTTCTTTTATTGCTCTGACAATATGATTTGTTATTTTCCCAGGTATTTGACTTGTTTGATACAAAGCACAATGGTCTATTAGACTTTGAAGAATTTGGACGTGCTCTCTCAGTGTTTCACCCAAATGCTCCAATTGACGATAAGATTGATTGTAAGTGCCATCCTTTTATTGTCATTGTTTTTCCTTTTTCTCCATTTATTATGGCTTTCTGTTCTCAGAAATTTTTTCTCTTGAAAGATGTTTGTGCATAAGAATAGAATTAGGGATATCATCATTTGATACTACTTTATGTGATTAATTATTTTCTAGTTTGCTTCTGTATATCTAACTTGTAATTAGTGATACTGATTTTGCTTGGTGCTGGTGATGCCGAAACATTTTCTTCTACAGTTTCATTCCAGTTATATGATCTCAAACGGCAAGGATACATTGGAAGACAGGAGGTAATTTTGTTTTTCCTTTCAATGTAATTTTACATATAGCATATTTTTTCTCTTAAGTATTGTTCTTAGTCAGTAATGATTAGTGTCTGTGTTCATGTAAGTTCTTCTTGGGAACATCACTCTTTCTTTTAAATTGTCTTGCTACTTGATCTTGCATATTTGAGATCTATAAATTTGCATTGGCCAATGCTGTATTAACGTTTCTGCTGGAGAATGAAGCCCGTGCTCAAAATGTTGGGCATCAGACTTTCCACGCATCTGATGTGCAAATTTCTGAAAACCAAGTAAAAAGGAAATCTTTTGGATATATCTGTTCGACACTATTGCACTTTATTCTTTATGGAAGACTCTGTACATAGTGTCGTCTTTAATATATTATTAATTTCCAATAATTAAATGTTCTATACTCTAATATGATATAAATTTATCCATATGTTTTTATTCGTGTATCCGGGAACTGTTATCCTATTATTTTTGGAATTTCCATGTCACTGTGTCGTTGTCTATGCAACATAAGTGTCAACCCCTTATAATCCCATAAAAAGCCATATATCAGAATTTGTTCGATGTCTTTCATGTTTTGTTTCTAGCTTCTAACCATTTCACGTTCTTCGAGCTTGTGTACAAATGGTTTTGATCTTTTCCCGTGTCATTGTAGGTAAAGCAAATGGTAGCGGCCACACTTGCTGAAACTGGCATAAATCTCTCAGATGATGTGATAGAATGCATCATTGACAAAGTAAGTTCTTGGGACGGTTGATTCCATTCACACAGTTATTAAAGAGAATCTCTTGCAATATTTTTGGTCAATATATCATGGCTTTGTTTCAGACCTTTGAGGAAGCTGATACTAAACATGATGGGAAGATTGACAAAGAAGAATGGCGGAGCCTAGTAATACAACATTCATCTCTCTTGAAGAATATGACCCTTCAATACCTCAAGTAAGCGTACTTATCTTGTTGATGCAATCTTTGGCCTTAAACTCAGTTGAGTTTATTTCTGGTAGACAATATACCATAAGCATTGAGAGCCTAACCACTGGGTGACCATTTTATTGATATTAATGATTATTTTACTTTTTGTTATCAAAATTCGTTTCTTAATTGTTTCACACCATCATATACATCCAAATTTTCAACACTTCATAAATTGTTCTCGAGCAAGTATCCAAGGGATTGGAGCGCAGATCTTGTCTCTAGACGTGTCAATTATGAATCGACCTTTTCATCTAATTGGAAGTTGCCAACGATACTTAGAATAGACTTTCTAGTGTGTACTGTTTTTGTTCGCATCTCATTTTTTCACGGGTCAATTCCCAGGTCCTTAATCTAGAGTGCGTCTGTATTGCTATTATTTGTACTGGTCTGGAGGTTTTACAGGATATATAACACATTAACACTTGATCTGTTAAGAATAATACCTGCATTTTCTGGTTGCTAAGTCTGATTTATTTTTGATACAGAGATATAACGACCACATTCCCGAGCTTTGTATTTTACTCACAAGTTGACGATACCTGAGTTCTGAGGCTCCCTGGTGAGACGACGTGGCAATTCTATGTATAGACGTTTACAAGGAAAGTTCTGGCCTGATAGGATGCAGAGAGGCTGCTTCGAATTCTTTATTCCTTACGTAGTTGGCAAATTTTTAGATTGCATATTTTCCTGTTCAAAATGTTAAACATTGTGTGTGTGTATATATCATAGATTTTCTTGTTTGAATGGATGCTTCGGTTTGTTGTTTTTGGTTTTATTAGAATCAGAAAGGTGTCTGCCTTTATTTTTATTTGAAATAAATTTGTATAATATAACCGGATTCTTACTGTTTTATAAAATATTAAGTTCCACTTGGTTTACATAAAAATTGAGGAAGAATGTATCTGGAAAATTGTGGATTTCATAAAATATGTGATTAAAAATAAATGTTAGAAATTCGCAGCAAACATGGGCTAGAATTTTGCAATGTGTACGTAATTTTTGTGCAGATAGGTTGACAAATCTGTCCCTTAATTTGAATTTCTGAAATTCAAATCAAGGGCATTTGTCAACTTATCTCTACAAATTATATGTACAAGTACATGGGCTAAATATGTTTTTCAAATATAAATGTTACATAAACAAGTAGAATTTATGGACTGGTTGACGGAATGATAGCCGGCAAGATTTTATTGGATTTTGGACAAAAAAGAAAGTTAAACTAGCCGATTAAATTTTGTTATTTTAGCACCTATTAAACTATTTGTATAAAATATATGTACAAGTAGAATAATCGTTTTCTAAAATTGAATTAAATTATTTGTACACTCATTGAGTATGCTTTAGTTTCAATAATGCTCCTCAAACATGGCAAATGACGAAGGGAGTTGACATGGTGGGGTGACAGTACATGATTTGGTGTTTTTTTTTTTTCCAAATTGTCTAATTATATATTGACGAGTGTCTCATCTGTTATTGAATCTAACATTGAACTTGTCATTGTAGCAAGATTGCTTTGGTTTAAACAATTGTGCACATTGTATGTTACTCAATTCTGAGCAGAGTTATATACTTATATTCGAGCAATATATCTTCAATTTGGTGCAACTAAGTGTCCTACTCATTTTTAATTTAGTGCAATTAGATCATTCTACTTTTATTTTTTATCTGGTCACTCATCTTTAAGTTGGTACAATCAGATCAACCAACGTCAAACATTCATGGAATAGCCTCACACGTGATATACCGATTATTACTATATTCAAAATTAAGAAATATCACAGAGGAGTCTTGATTTTTGTATTGCACTACCTCTTTGTTTGTGCGCAACATCTTAGGAAAACAACAAATGTCAAACATTCGTCTTGTAATTTTATGGAAGTAAATCCATCCCTCGAAAGAAATCATGGGTTGTTAAATAAGGAAAGATTTGAGGATTTGACCATCAAGAATTAAAGGTAGATATCTATTTGCCTATAACGCATAAATTGAGGACCTTCACCTTAATTTTGCCTCGAATTTCCCAAAATGAATAGTAGTACAATATATTCCACCTGTAGGATGTAACCCATTAGTTTAATAATTTCCTCCTTTTTTCTCACTGTCTCCCTGTCTGCTGCCGCCGCAGCTATCCACGGGCCACTGGTTCTCTCCGGCAATTTTTAATGTAATAAACACAACTTTTCTCAATATTCGCCACTTTTTATTTACGGGTTTCTGATTATCTTTGACAAAATAGTAAAAGAGTTAATTCTTTCCTTTTTGTTTTCTGGGGGTGTTGAAAAATGATTGGTTCAGAATTTCAAAATATTTTATTTTTCGCAATTTAAATGAATCCATGTTCCATTATTCATTTACATGTTAAGAATTTTTTAGTGTGTTGGTTATCACATGAGAAAATCTAATCCACATATGTATGAATGTGAATGCATGAGCATTTTGTGGCTCTACTGGAAAATTTTGATATTGCGTTGGTGTTGTTTCAAATGAAGTTTTTAAGGTACTTCGTGAAGATATGAACGAAACGGGAGGACAAGGATTTGGGAACTCCAAAGGTGGAAAATCTGCCCATAAATCGTCGGGTAATTTTATTTTTTTTTGACTTTTTAGTCAATTACCGTTCGGGCTTTTATTTATGATGTGATCTTGCTTGCTTCAAGATTACTAATCGTGGATCAGCATGCAGGTTATTTTTTAGATTTCTTAGAGCCTCGTAAAATTTTATTTTTCTTTGTCTTTTTAAACTATTATGTTTCTTGTTGGGAAATTGATGAAATTAAAATATTTCAATAATTGAAAATTTTGCCTCACAGATATAAAACAATTGAAATATATATTTGTGCAGCCACCAATTGATTTTATCCTCTTATGTATTTAAGTTGGAAACCTCTGTATTACTGGTTGGTGCTTTGTTTTGATATGCCCTTTTCTTTTTGTTCTATTATGTTCCGCATCATTGAAGGGAAGGACAACTGCTCCGCAAAGTCAAAGGGAGGAAGAAAAGTTCAGTTTGAGTCGGGAGGTAGAATTTAAGCTATAATTCTTACAGTTACTAAGCATTTTAATAATTGAGCCAAAGAAAAAAAAATTATGTTGTGATATGCTTTTTTGTTCAATATCTTGAGAATATTCTATTAGTTGCTCTATCAATTGAATTATTTATTTCAAATGCTGTTACAAGGCAATATTCCATAATTTAATGTGAAGGTAGAGACTATCTGCCAAAGGTTTGATATCCAATATCTTACCTTGTTTGCCTTATCAATACCTCTAATGTTTTATGTGCAGCTAAGCCTTTTTCCGCTTGGTCTGTTAAGTTTTCTTGGTGGATTTTGTTTTGTAAAAAACATTTTGCGTTTTAGATGTTTTTCTAATGCACAAATTATATTTATTAAGGTTCCGGTGGAAAAGCAGGAAAAGAAGACAAGATTGCTAATGGCAGCAAGAGTTCCCAAGCAAAAGCACCTTCTCCTCTGGAGTGGAGACTTGAGCAAGGTCAGTGCTTCCGGTGAACCAGTTGTCACCATCCCTCTCTTGCTCTTGCTCTCTCAATGATGTAAAAGTTGTTTGTGGGTTCCGAAGTGCATCGAAATAAGTGTTCACAGTAGAAAGAATACTGATGAGTTAGAATAGTAGTAGATACAAATTGGAAGTCACTGAATTATTTCTTTGAATATTGTAGTTGTGTAGATAGTTTTTATCTAATGCATCGGGTTTGATGGGAATGTTTTGTTTGCAAGATGAGGTAGGCCTTTATGTAAACTGTTTGGCAGATTTGGGCTTGTTCGTTTGTTGCAATAATATGTTAAGTACATTAATTTCAGGCGATAAATTTGGTCAACTTTTTCTGTTTTTTATTCTTGTAAAGAGGTCTTGATGCATGTGCCTTCCAGAAAATAGCGAATTCTTGATGGACTGCGAAGCTGCAGAAATCTTGCAAGGAATCCAAGAGCAGATGGTGATGTTGTCTGAGGATCCGAATATAAAACTCCCAGTGTGAGTAGTGCAGATTTAGCTTTTAATAATTTTTTGCTTTTCTTTCCTGATGAGTAATTTTTTCTTGTTTTATTCATTTGTTTTATTTCCATTTTAATCATTTGGAATTTGTTTTGAATGTTGGATTGATCTAATGTTTGTTCATCATCAGTTCATTTGATAACGGCCTGTCGTATGCCAAGAGAGGCAGCTCCTGTTCGAAATCCCAAACTGTTAGAAAAATACTTCAGTATCCTTCTCTTTGATCAATGCTGAATTTTTTCTCATGCAACTCTGTATAAATTATTCATGTCAATGATTATGGTTAATTCCTACTCAATGTACAACATTTGTTTATCTATTAACATAGATTAGACCTCTCAAGAAGTACGGAGTTTCTAATGCAGAGGTATTCAATCTGTGGCAGTTGATTTTTTTATCAGCATTTCAGGCATGGTGCGTTTAATTTAATTTTTATGGTTGCAGATCTGCCAAATTGCCAACCTTCGCGCCGAATCTGTTGAAGAAGTTTTCGCTCTTATCCCGTCCCTGAAGGTATAGCATACGTGAGAAGACAGAGATGTTTGATTGCATTACTCTAGTTGTTTCAAGTTATTGTTATGCTAACATGCTTATAGTTCTGTTGATGCTCATTATACAATTAAGTTTGTGCTTGGTAAGCAGTATTCAACGGGATTTGACAATTCCATTAACAAGATTTTAGCCTTGTCTTGCTTGATGTTGGCCTGTCCAATCAACTTACTAATTTAACAATACCATTAACAAGATTTTAGCCTCGTCTTGCTTGATGCTGGCTGTCCAATCAACTTACCAATTTAACTTGCTCTAAGAGCACATTTATCATGTAATGAAATGTTTTGATAGGGAAGATTCAATAGGCCATTATTTAAGTAGAGAAATGTGTTAAGAACTTGTTTATTGTATTGCTCAGTCTTGTCTAGTGTTTCATTAAGAACTTGTTTGGGAGATGTTTTTGAAAATCATTTTTCCCCAAAATCATCTTCAACCACACATACTATGGGATCCACAACTTTTTCCTACTTCTTAAATTTTAACCACATTCTCCAAAAAATCATTTTCACATGGAAAAATCGCTCCCAAACAAACTCTTAGTTTAATAGTCAAGATCTTGAATGAATCAATAGGGTGCAACCTTTCTCATTTTGTTCTGTTCCTAGGCAAAGGAAAACAAGATAAAAGAACCCCTTAGAATTGCGCTGGGCGAACTAACTAATCTTAGGGATGCTCTGGATGAACTGGCCAGGTTCGAAGAATCGGGTGCAGCGGTGTGACAAAACTCTATGGTAAGATTATTTCAACGATCTCCAGTTTCCATTCTTTTCCTAGTTTATTCAGTTAGAATCCCCTTTGCCCCATTTCTATGCTAATGTTTTATGATACTCTTGTTATCTTAGTATGTTTCGATATTCTGTCAGGTACTGCATGATTTTGGACACAGTAGCTGTGAATGTGGCTCCAGATTTCATGAACGTAACGCACACCACCTAGTTAGCAGGAAAATTCTCGGTTTCTTCTTAGTATATGATGTTTTATATTGTAATAACTGGCTCCTTGCTTCATATTAAGACCAAAATTGATCAATTTTTTTCTAAATTTTATGACAAGAATGTCATACTAGTGAGGTCGGAACTATATTAGTAAGATGGGTGTTTGCTATTTGAATCTTTCCTCTCTATCTTCTGCTTGTTCTTTTGATATCATGTCACTCTTATGAAAGGAACCTATATTGGTCTATGCAAAGAGATATTCTAATTACTCAAGTCGTTCATTTCCTTAGTTTATCTTCAATCGGAGCTCCCTCAATTATTGGAGCATATCGCAGTGATTCCCTGCCGTAAAATGTATTGTAATATTCTGATTTTTTTTTCTCTCCGAACTATGGCAAGATTTCCTTTCCCTTGTGTCGAGTACATAATTCAATGCATGTAAAGCAACTTGTTCATACAAAACAAATCTTTCACGATGTGGAAGTGAGTAGACTTGGCTATGTCTTCTATGTTCACGAGTCTCCGCGGCTTTAAAGGTTTGTTTGATAAGATGGATGAAATAATGTTAGACAGTGTTGAAGAAAAAAGAAGCTAAAATCTTGTTTATTACCATGAATGTCCAAAAGTTTCATCTTTGTCGTACTTTTTAATATGTGAACACAATTGTATACTTCTAAAAGTGAATGATGATATTATTGACACGTTTGCTATACTGTATTAAACCCTGATTTAAAAAGAAAAAATGAAAAAAGGTTAAAATTGTCAATCGAATTTTTTAATTTTTTAAAGAACTAGTGGATTTGAGTGGAAGGTCAAAGAAGGAAGTTAGTTGAGCCCTCGTCGCTCCATATCACACTAGCTTATAGTTATCATTTTCTTCATCTCCACTAGATTGTGGATATGTTAAAAAATCTAATGCCCTTTTTACTGATAGTATAGTTTAACGGAATACTTTGGTAAGGTCAAGTACCGTTAACTCTTTTTTAAATAATAATTTTCGTTTAACTCACTTAATACAAACTAGGCACTGACATATTTAATTTAATATATCACTAACTCTAAAGATGATTCCACATCACTTCCTACCACTAAAAGGACTCAACAGCAAGTAGGGGTAACTTCAACTATGGTAATGATATCTGTGCAGTATACTTTTCATCTTCTCCAAAAGCAGTTTGATTCAGAAGAGGGAAGTCTGAAAACCTCACTTAAGAAATCTCTGGTTCACATGAGGAAAATGTTAAGTCCCCAAAGAATAACCAATGCAAATATAGTCTCCCCACTTCCCAGACTGAAACCTGAAGAATTAGCAGAGGCATCTTCTACCCCAACAAGAAATCTGCAATCACCAACTGAAGGATCCAAGAAAGTGACCATCCCGAGCCCATCAAATTCGCAGCTCTGAGGATTCTGTTTTCGGAATTGATAGTAGCTGTTGAATGCATATGAAATATTTCCCTTCGCCCCAATTCCATTGCAGGATCCCCCATAGTTGAGTGTAGTGCAATCAGCATAACTGCAAGCAATTTTGAAGTGATCTGTCACACCAGAAAGATCCTGGGATGGATTCACCACACACCATCTAGAAGGCAGATACTGAACATCTTTAGCATTCTTTAATAATCCATTCCCGAGGTTTAGCGAGTACTTTGCCTGGCCATCAAAAGAGAAAATGCCCCAGTGTCTCTCGAAGTTCCCTGGAAGTACGCTTTTTGCCCCTTCATCAAAGAGACTGAAAAGATAAACATCCATAGGAGGCACACCTGGCCTCAACGGAGTTCCTTTATTGCCAAGAACATGATTCACAAGACCTTGGTTAAAAGCCTTTGCAGCCGACAGATTAGCACTCAAAGCCCCATCAGTTGGCCAACCTACCTCTCCTACAACTATGGGCATTTGGCCAAAACCAAGTTTTCCAAGCGCTGCAACTAAAGTGTCAAAATTTCCATCAAATGCATTGGAGTAAACATTCGGTCCATCCATCACAGAGTGTGTGGTCCCCCCAAAGAATGCATAGTCTTGAGGGAAGTCCGAGCTTCCAATGAGGCTGAGGAAAGGGTAAATATTTACGATAAATGGGGAACCATTGGAATTCAAAAAAGTAACAAGCTGTGTCATAATTTGGGTCAGCTCAGGTCGGAAGGCTCCTTGTGATGGTAGAGAAGATTCATAGGCATCGGCATTGCATGGAACAACCAGCTTTATCATGCCTGCAAGATTTGCTTTGGCCAAGGACTGTTGTATATTCATCATAGCAGGTACAACATAAGATTGATATTGACCAGAATAACTCGTCAGAAATGGTTCATTTCCTACAGCAACATACCTGGTGATAGCACTTTTGAAAGTCAGTGGCATGAAGATAACATGAAATTTTTATCTATTCAAAATAAAAAAGCCAATGAATTATTTAAAGTGTCTAAGAAAAACAGGAAATGGTCCCCGAATATCAAACTTGTTTCATTTTAAATTGCTCACATATGAGTCTATGACTCTGCTAGGTTCTTTATCATCTGTAACAGTTCTTTACTTGGATTTTGTCTCTTCTAATTATTTATAACTCAGCACGTGTTTAGCTAATTGCAGACTTGAAGTATGAAGGAAGAGAGAAGACTTTTAAGAGGATTCTGAAATTTCTCAGGAGTTGAAAAGCCTTACAAATGAATTGCAATTACTTAATGCAGTACACAAATTCTCAATTTATACACAGCCTAAACTATATAGAAAAAAACCCTATCTTCAATCAAATTACAACATGCCATTGGATGAGGTGGAGTACAGCTGGAAGTGAGCTATCCTTGGACGCTTCTCATGGTCTACAATCTGAGGTGCCCGTCACTATTCAACACTAATCCTACTAGTTGGATTCTTCCCTTCACCACCCCAGTGGAGTTGGTCTTCAAAGTTCTTGATTACTACTCTGAATACATGATGCTTACCTATCCAATAATCCAAAGCTTAGTTCTGTCTAATCAAAGTCATTGTTGATAGATCATATCGATCATCATCAAAATATTATACTACATCTTTGGCTCAAAGATCCCAATTACAAAATGTCTTGACAATGGCCAACTGCAAAGTGCTATCCCAATTGACAATGACTAACATAAAACAAGAATTTTGACTTGTTGGAGTTCACAACAAACCAAATGCAGAGATTCTTGGGGTGAAGCAAATAAGTAAGGTATGCTTCAAATGTTACAAACATACGTCTCATCCTCAACTTCTCAAGGTGCTGCAAAGGAAGCTGTATTTCTTAAGAACTCCGCTCTAGACTTCAGTGAGCTCTCTGCAGTGGACTCTAATTCAGTGGCAAAGCAATTATGTGTATCAGGCATGCAATTTAGTTAACAAAGTGAAAGTTTTCACCAACATCCAACGTCGACAAGGGCTATGCAGACTTCTTTTATAATCACATTCAGTTGAACCATCACAATCCACAAATCTTAATACTAAATGCATCTCGTTGCATTCTTCGAAGATCTCAACGAACCTATCTTACAATTGTACACCAACAGATGCTGTTTTGAGGCAAGTACAAGTAGGGCTCTACCAAACCGTAATAACTTATTTAACTCTATGCATTAGAATATCCTTCATGTTCTAAAGTTCCCTCGTTATTGTAAAACAGATTATTGCTTTTCAGATCATGTTCCGTAAAACACAGTAATAGGAGCCATTTCATGAATGTGAAGCATGTGAAATTTATCTCCTCCATACCATCGAAGACATTATATAGTGCAACTTGATTGATAGACAGTGCAAAGATAATTCAACTGTTTTTCCACTCATACCAGTTCTGCATTTTTTTCTTCAAAAAATTGATTTTAAATTATTTGATTCTTACACATAATCAGAAGTAAATGAACGCAAAATTCGTAGTCTGTTCAACTTCATAGTCATCAAGCATGATTTTTTTGTCCCAATTACATTCAGAATTCTTTAACCCAAAAATTAGAAAATAACGAACTTGATACTGCAAACTGTATTATTCCATAGGTTAAAATCTACCACTACCTTTCCTCACTCCTTCCATCAACAATCAATTGCAAAAGTAGTAACATACAATCTTGAGAGAACTTAAGATCGTAAACAATGTTAAACCACCTCATTTAAAATCTTAAGCTTTTAAAGAGTCGCAGTGAGTTTTTCTCTACATAACGCCGAGGGTGCAAGTAAGATCATAATTTTTCATAAAAGGACAATGGCAAAACTTGAATCCGGTCTTTTTCATATGGAACCAACTCATCCCAAAGCTTAAGCTTTTAAAGAAGGCCAAGAGTATTATAACAAGATAACAATCCAATTATCCAAACTCTAAAACCCGAAAACTGAATAAAGCTTAGTAAAGTATCCAGACATTAACCACAGAGAGAGAGAGAGAGAGAGAAAGAGACATACTTGATGTTAACACCGCCTTTAACCATGTATCTAGAGACATTCTGAGAAACCCACAAATCAGAAGCGGCGGAGGAGGAGCTGAGCGCCGACAGCATGTCATTGGGGATCCCAACCATAACCTCAATCCCACTCCCCATCAAAGCTTTAAGCGAATATGGGTCTGTATCAAAAAGCTTCACTTTTGAAATCTTGTTGTCCTTCAACAGATTCACCACCGTCTCCGGCGACAGTCTGTGGAGGGACAACGTGCCCCAGTTCACCCCTATCCCTGATTCCACCACCACCACCACGGCGGAGCTACACAACAAGAATGCTAAGATGGTTGGAAAAAGCGTACAGCTTGCCATCATTAATCAGCCTCCTTTAATTAAGACTATTCATTCAATCAAGAACTTGTCTGTAAGCGTCTGATAAATGTTTCTTGTCTGAAAGCGGTGGGATTGGGAGATAAAGTGAAGTGACTGTATTACTTGGAAGGTAAAGCGCAAATCTGAAGAATGCAGCTACTGAATTAAAATATTATCGGCAGTTAAACGTTGATTTAAAATTGGAAACTTAAGACAAAATAACCTTGCCAAGAAATGGTCGGTTGGATTTTTTATGTAACTCGAGAACAAAAGCACCTTACTGAGTTAAGCTTAAAAAATAAAAACAATGTAAATTAAAATTTATTTTTAAGCTTTGTCACACTTAAGTAATTTATTTTGATAAATATAATTTTCAAATTTACTTTTTCATATTAACAAAATTTACTTTTTAAAAATTAAGCTCAAAAAATGTCCGTGACATTGTAGAGTGGGCAAATTATTTTGATTACGCTATTTAGCTCTCGCTTAATTTTAGTTTTTTAAGAGTAATTTTGTGAAAGTGATTTTTTTAGAGAACGTGTGATTTAAAAGGTAAGAAAATGGGTTCATGTGCAAAATTATATTATTAAAAGAAAAATAATGTTACTGGTACAAAATTGTGATTGAAAAAGAGTTTAAAAGAATGTGTGATTGAAAATAAGTCTGATTTTTTTTTTTTTTAATTCAAAATCAAATAAGGAGTTAATATTGTGTCCTTAAATGTACAACGTTCATTATAGGACGATTAAATAGAGAATGTTTTAATTAGTTTATTCAAGATTTCTCGTGTTGTTTTTACTTGTGAATATGAATTGGAGAGATGAAAAACACTTGCCATGTGATTAAAATCGACCGGGCTTATTTATTTTTGCTTTTACTTTCGTAGTTTTGCTTCTACTTTTTATAGAAGGGATTTTTTAATAAAATTATCTTATATCAATTTTTTTTTCTAAAAATTACTCTAATAGGATAAAATATTTCAAGAAAATTATTTAAACATATTCAGAAACAACTTTTAACTTTCTAAATATCTGGCCAAACGGCCCTAAATACATCGTCAAAAATTAGGAATGAAAACTAATCATCATTGTTATAAGAAAAAGAGGTATAGTGGAAACGAAAAGAGGGCTTAGGTCAAAGTAAAATAATCTTGGAAGATTAAAGATGAAGTATTCATAATTAAAAGGCAGAGAGGGTGATGGACATGCACCTAATTTAAGCAAGTAATGTGTCAATCAATAAAGAATAAAATAATCAGCAGATAATCATACTACTAAAGAATGGCTGAAACCATTTGTGCGGAAAAATGGTCACAGAATTTCACCAGAAATCTCAGATGGAGGTGGGTCCCATTAAGAATAAAATATTGCAAAAAATGTGGACCCCATCTTTGTTGTGTGTGATCTGGTGGAATTCTGTGTGCATAGAATACTGTCCACACAACAAGGTCCAGAAAGAATACTAATTATCTTCTTTTCCTTTTTGTTTTTTAATGTCAAAATAATTTTGCCATTAATGGCTGGTGTCTCACTTCAAATATTTTGCTGACCTATTTCTCATCGAGTTTGTATATATATTAAGAATCATGCTACATCTACAATATTAGTTAATAACATCTTATTTGATATTATCATATCCATTCATTTTTAAAAACTGTTTTCTACATCACATACTAGGATTTTGACAACACATGATTATCAACCAATGTTGTACACTTAGATTTATTCATATATTAAACACACTATTTTCAAGAATAAGGCCGGCTCACTATAATGGACAAGTCCTTCTATTTGAACTGTTACTAGTCTGTCTTAGGGCTGTCCGTGGGTCGGTTCGGTTCGGTTTGGTTCTGAAGATACCCGAACGGACCCAAAACTTTCGGGTATTTAATAAATGGACCCGTCGGGTCCAAATATAAATATATAATCGTTCGGGTTCGGTTCGAGTCTGTTCGGTTCCGTTCGGTTCGGTAATAGCCCAGGCCTATCCATAATCTCTTCTCCCTGGCTCCTGGGAGGCACATCCTGCGATTTACCTCTTCCACAATGGCCCAGGGTAGTGTCGGTGGGGGCCCTCAAGGTTGAGGTTCAACCTTTAATAAAGAATTAAATTAACATTTCACCTGGAATAAAATAATCAGCAGATAATCATACCACTAAAGAAATGGTTATTTGTACAGAAAATAGTCACATAATTTCACCAGAAATCCCACGTGGAGATGGGTCTCATTGTGAATAAAATATTGCAAAAAATGTTGACCCCACCTTTGTTGGGTGTGATCTGGTGGAATCCTGTGTGCATAGAATACTGTGCACACATCAAGGTTCAGAAAGAATACTATCAACTTTTCCTTTTCCTTTTTGCTTTTTAATATCAAAATAATTTTGCCATTAATGGCCTATTTCTCGTCAAGGTTGCATATATATTAAGAATCATACTATATGTACAATATTGGTAAACAACATTAGTTGACAACATCTTATTTGACATTATCATATCCATTTATTTTTAAAAATTGTTTTCTACATCACGTACTGAAATTTTGACAACACATGGTTGTCAACCATTGTTGTCAACCAATGTGTACACTTAGATTTATTCATATATTAAACACACTATTTTCAAGAATAAGGCGGGCTCACTATAATGGACAAGTCCTTCTATTTGAATTGTTACTAGTCTGTCTTACCATGCTTGAGAATTCCGAGTCAATCACATTATTAACAAACATGTCGTGGATATGTTATGTTACTTGTGTCTATTAAGTTTCGAGTTCCATCTTAAAAGTTCGTGTCTTATTTTCATTCTGATCTATCTGAGATTTTTTTTTTTTTTACCGTTAATATGCCTTGCAATATGGTGATAGTTTAAGAACACTAATTTTGAAATCTAACCACTTATTAGAGTTGTTTTATACCAATGGTCAACCTAATATTGTTCGTTTGATTTTCGAACAATGATACTATATGGCTTCTATATTAAGAAAACAAATTCCTCAAGCAGTTTTCCTACTTTCTATGTACCATGCCATTTATGTGTCAGCTAAATTGTTCGTACATTCAAAGGCTGATCAGTAACCCAAGAATAGAATCTAGGTTCAAAAAAAAAAAAGGAAAAAGTTGCAGGGAAACACTATTGATATCTGATTGACTCTAGATTCCTCCACTCATCTTTGACGATATAAAGCCATTTCCGCTTTTGGCATTGGATAGTAGATTATCCTTTTTTGATATTTACTATTGCTGCGAAACAATCAAGATATCGTAATTACATTGATACCCCTTATTATGAAATAATCAAAATATCTCTTATTAGAAAAAATATTAATATGTTCGAATCATTGTTAGCAATATTGAAAATACAAAAATTATGTATTGTTTGAATACCACTTATTGAAACCAACCATCGGAATGAATGGTTGAAGCTATATGGAAAATAATGAAGTATTAGATCAAATAAAATAATAATAAATACAGGTAATATGACAGATGAATTTAGAGATTTTAATGACTCAAAAATAATGGAGAAAAGAAAAAATTACAATTGATCATATAATTACAGTAATATATTTTCCTAATCTTATGAAATTGTATAGAAGAACCTGATATTTATATGGAATATATAGGGGACGTCCAAACCCTCTTAGTGGAGTTGTTGATGAAATAGGATGCCAAAAAATCGATTTCAAAATGAAAAATGAGAGAAAACGCGAAAAATCGGAACATGCAAGATGGGCGGAGAAGTGCCCATGCCCATAATTTTTTTTTTTTTTTCAAATTGTTTTCTCCATCTCAAATTTGCGGCGCCGGGTGTCTTGCCCGGAATTTTTTTTTTTTTTTGCTAGATCTCGGGTTAATATTCCAAAACATGCTTCCAAAGTGTTTTTTTCTATTCCGAACTCTTATTCAAGTCTAATATTAATTTTCAACTCCCAATGGGCTTCCAAAATAGAATTTCAACTTGATATAGGATTTCAATAACATTCAAAACTGAATTCTTCTTGACGTGCACTTCAATTAGAATTTTTCAACTATTTCAACAAAGAATTCGAGTCACACCCAAATTCTAACAACTATAATAATAAATTTGTTTTAATTTTGAAATTTTATTTAAAAGAATGTCTCGTACACATTATTCATTAATCAAAGATGAAATTTAAGTCAAGAATTATTGGACCAAGACAAGAATTTTCTGAACTTTTTGGACAGCTTGATAATCAAGCCAGTGCAGGTTGCCGGCACGCTAATGCACCTGGTGCGCTGCTGGTCGGCGGAGGTGCCCTGCCTGTACTGGCCGAGCATGGCCAGCACACTACTTGGCAATTCAGTCGCACTGCCGGCCAATGTACATTTGCTGCCAAGCGACAGAAATGGCGTCTTTTGGGTTCCCAACTGTTTGATTTGTGCAATTGAAATAAGATTTCAAATTTATCTCTTCTATCTTCCATACTTTTTTTTTGCATACTCAAACTCTCATATTTACATTGCCAAAATCATTGTTTTTATTCTTTTATACGACAAAAATAGAATATGAACCTCTCATATAAATTCTTACATGTTTGGTGTTTGGAAAATTACATTTATAACATGCCTTGAATTGTGTTATTAGAGAAATTCAAGTTATTGCTTGAGAATCCCCATCAACATTTAACCTATCTTGTAATTTCAAGGGAAAACATGTTCAAATACTGAAAATAGTTTTATACATTATTGTTGACCCCTAAAAATGTTCCGATGAGGTGGCCAACGGATCCCAAGGCCTCTCACGTCCACGCAAGCTGGATTCATGCACATTTGGACAAACCGTTTGGCACACGTAGCCTCCTCTAGTAGGGGTGGAGTTGGCCGCGCACACTCGACAATCAAGTCAATTCGAGAAGTAATTATGGGTGTGGGAGAGCTTAAAACGTGAGCCTCTAATAAAAAAAAAGAGGTCGGCTTTGGGAGATGAATGAAATAAATGAGTGGCAAGAATATAACTTTAAGAGTCTAAACTTGCAT